GTCATTATAAAATGTTTTCCTTAAAAGGTATTTACTAGATTTTATACGTTCATAAAAGTCATTCTATAAATATTTGAAATTCTTTTCAAGTTTAAAAGCTCCTTTATTGTTAACATCTGCAACGACCTCTTTCTGGACACCAAATATTTTTCATAGCTGAAAAAAATTCATCCTTCTGGAGCTGATGCAACCAGTAAACACACAGCAAATTCTACTAGTTTAAAAATATATTAGAAGCTGATGTCAGAATTCTTAAGGATTTAAAAAAAATATAGCCTTTTATTTTCAATTCTTAAAGCTCTAAAGTTCCACTCTTGTTTCTATTATTGCAAAATTTGTTTAGCTGTGACCTTTCATCAGCGCAAGGAAAAATTTACCTATATTTACTAAATTATAAATTATCATAATGTCGAAATTTGCCCTCTCATCTAAATCTGTCTAATTCACATCAAAAGTTTAAAAAAATATATCCAAATTATATATAAATTCTTCTGTTTGTTCAGTACTCTTTTTCCGATTATGTAAATAATTTATTCTCAATTTACAGAACTGAGGTTCTGCAAGACATATACCTTATTAATTTTACAGTTTAATACTAATTTATTTAACAGTTGCTTTGCCAGAAACGGCCAAAATACAGGGTGTCCATAATTAATGAACCCTAAGCGAAACCACTGATAAAAAAAATTGTGAAATTTTGTAGCGGATTTTATGAAGGGATGAGAATTTCTTTCAGCAAAAACAAATTGTTACAAATAGCATCACCAGATTACATTATATTAATAAATTGTACAGTTAGGCACACCTTTACAATAGTTTTAAAATTTTACAAATTGTGTTACAAAAAGGCGTGTTCCTCATGATGGTCATCATTTTCAGCTACCATCTGAAATAGCTAGATGGCATGTTCCACAGTTGACCGAAGTATGTGCTGGGAAATGTTCAGAACGTGGCATGAAATGCTGGCTTTAAGATCAGATAAAGTTCTTGGATTGACACGACTTACCAGATGTTTTAAGTGTTCCCAAATCCAAAAATCACATGGATTGAGGTCTGGGGATTGGGGAGGCCACACATTACGAAAATGTCGGCTAATGATAAGTTCTTCTGGAAAATGAAGTTTAAGAGCACTCGTAACACATGCAATATATGGAGGAGCTCCAACTTGCATAAATATTGTGCCTGCAAGGCACTGACGTGCTTGCAGAGACGGAACAATTTTGTTCTCTAACAGGGATGCATACCGCTGCCGGGTGATTGAGCATGTCACTGGACCTGTGGAATATAACTCCTCGAAAAAGTATGGGCCGAGAAAAAATGACACAGAATATCCTCACCATACAGTCACTTTTGGTGAATGAAATGGAACCTCTAAAACAGGATGCGAATTTTTTGATTCCCAAATTTGGCAGTTGTGAATATTCACAGCACTGTTCAAATGGAAATACATTTCATTCTGTTCGGAGGATAATCCAGGGCCACTCTGAATCGACTTTAAAGCGAGTAAGAATCTGAAATGAGAACCGGAGTCCAGCGTCAAAATCATGCGGAAGCATCCGCTGCACTACCGAAAGTCTGTAAGGGTAATATGAGGATATTCTGCAAGATCTAATGGACAGTTAAATGTGGTCTATCCAGCGCCTCTGCTATACGCCACATACTGGTGCCAGCTTGAAAGTTTAAAGCTGTGCCCCTTTACGACCTGAAGCGCAACCTCCTGTACGGCTTCTGCAGAAACTGGGTTTTCTTCCTCTTCCACGATGAACAGAAAACATAATGTTTCTTCAAATTCGTTATCATTTTCCGAAGGTTGTTAACATTCATTGGGTATCTTAGAATCTCCTTCAAAGTCCGAAATTTCCATAGAGCAACAACTGCGAGATTACTGTTTCGGTAGAACAATTTTACTAACAAAAATCTCGTTTCGTGAATTCGTGATCTCGTGAATTCAATTGATAAACTTATCGTCATTGTGAACAACATGCCACATTGAAAACAAAGTTTCCACGGATCATCACTTTGCTACTAGTACTTTCAACTACTCTGAGTTTTTACTAGTCGATTTAATTTATTGCCATAAGGCCAATTATGGTAATTTTTGAATTATGGTGCAATCGCACCTTACACCCGGACGCGAAGCTGTTATTTTGACAAGCTCAAGACTTCACAGTCAAGTTCGTATGTTCACAAAGTTCTTATCAGCGAGTTAATTAAGTAGTGCGGTCTCAAAGTCTTGAAATCCAGTCTTTAATTCATATATTCAATATTTACACAGTCTTTTATATATGCAGAATGTTGAAACTTGCGATTTCTTGGTCAGATGACTTGAACCAGCTAATGGGAAATGTTTCCCTTTCATAATTTGCGTAAATGGAGAAATAATCTTAAAAATAAATTCTTAGGATTGCAGTCACTTGTTACAGGCCGACGAACTGGAAATGAATAAAGCCACATGGTGTGCTTTGGCTAATGGCGAACGTTCACGCTCAAACTTTGGTAGTAAAATTTTTACAAAAACCCTGAAACATTGAATAATAATGATGATCGCAAATGTTTCTAGGTTTTATAAAAGCTGCTGAATGACATCGATAAAGAATGGCAGTTTTGCTACAGGTTTTTCATAGTAAAACACCCTCAGGTGACGCTGTTTGTAACTATTTTTTTTTCGCTGAAAGAAATTCTCATCCCTTCATTAAGTCCACCACAAAATTCCACAACCTTCTGATCACTGGTTTCTTGTAGGCAGCTTTGAAATAGGGTTCTTTAATTATAGACACCCCTGCATACTGAAATCTTTCTTTAAGATTATTTTCCAGTTCAGAATATTTCATGAACTCGTCTGTTGCAGTTACGGAACTGGACTGCACTTCTTTAATTATAGTAGTTTTAAATAACAGTAAAGTATCATGCAAAAACCGAAGGATACTTCGTTTATAGAACTTTTAAAATATTACCAAAATCTTACTTCACTGTTTACTTGAAAGAAAATATGGGTTTAAACCTTCAGATGTGTCTAAAGTGCTTCGTATTTCAAAGAATAAATGAAAATGTCTTGAACTGTTGTTATACAAAACTGTTTTCCCTTCAGTGTCTAGAAATTTGTAGAATTCTTTTCATTGGGGAGTTCTGACTGTGTATATATGAAAATATTTGTATATTTTAATTACCATCATTTGAATATTCATAAGTAGTTTATCTGCCGCAGTCTGAATACAATTATTTAGTATATGTGCTGCGCAGCCGATACCTACAATAGAACAAGATAAATTATTTTCAAATTTTCTGAATATATTTCTTTCACTCCTCTTGTTTAGACCTCCAAAACTACGTTAATGTCTTATCAGCACAGTGACATATAACTCTTCTTATCAATAGAGTATTTCTACGCATTTTTCAAAAGATAATTACACAAAACGTCTGCAGTTTCTTCAAAATGTAAGAGGTTCACCCGAACTTCATGATCTAAAACAAAGAACAGGATTGCTATAAGGTCTAGTTTTATGTCTGTGATTTGAGCTGTAGATCGTTACAGTAATGTATAAAAGATTTTCTCTCTTCTTCCAGCACATCTTCGTAGTGTAACGTTAACACACTCGGAGCGCATTCGAGAGGTCCAGGTTCGAGTCCCGGCTAGGGCATTGCTCAATGGTGATATTCCATGTTTAATTATCACTTTAGTGCGTGCGGCTGAAAGTTTTGGTTCGAATAATACCTTAATTAACTTAGATGTACAGTCTTTATGCACAGCAAAATGGTAAGCAAATGCGGTTTCTTTAGCAGCACATTTAACGTCTTTCGCTGTAAAATCAGCAGTAGTATTAGAAGAAGTACAGCTATTTACTGTTTGTGCTTAAATGCTTTTGTATGATCTTCTATATTACTTTTCTCTTCATGAATTCAACTGCTAAAATTCCGTTACACAATATTCAATTATTCAATTTAAGCAATGCAATCAAAACACAATTTTAATTTACACTCAACTTGCAAATTTTCAGTGAAACGATACTTTCTCTTTCCCACTCTTGATAAAGAATATATAAACTAAAACGAGTCTTGCAAATTAGTAGCTCACTTTTCAAATTTGTGAAAATTTTTAGCAGTACAAATTAGCAATGAAAATCCTTGAATTTCAAAAACGCTAATTAAAAAGGGGAAACTTTTAATATTTAATCGTTTTAACTTCTGAAGCCAGAAAAGCTATTGATTACTTTCTTTCACTTGCAATTCTCTCTGATTTGAAAGGTTGTAGAGACATTAGGATTTTTTTAAAGCCGGAAAGATGAAAAATTAGCACCCGCTTTCGCCGGGAATCGAACCATGGACCTCTGGAACATCAGCCCAGTATGCAGAACCACTACACTACGAATGCACGCTAGGAAAGTGGGAGACATGCCTTATAAGGTGAATGTTGATCCCCGGCAATATAATAAATTAGTATTAAAACATTTATGTGAATTGCTAGTTACCTTCATATCAATTTAAATATTATCATTTGAAAGAGCTTTGTTTAAATAAGTGGCAGTTAGATGTACAAGAACTAGAAAAAATAAAGTGTTGAGAAAAAGTTAAAAAGTGGTGAATTTATTTTGATTGTTGAAGAGAAACATTAAAATTAGTAGATTAAAAAATTAAAAAAAAGCTTTTTAACTTTGTAAATCATAAACTATGTGAGAGATAAACTTTGACCAATAAATGCATACAATATCCGTGAGAAACTCAATGAAATACTAAGGTACCAAACTGCTTGTCCTGACCCTTTCTCCGTCGCTTATAGATTTACTTTCGTTTTTACACCAGGGCATTTTTTATCTTAGTTTTTAAGAGAATGAATACAGAATTACTTAGGAGTTGTCTATTTACATAAAAAATATTTATACGCAAAAAAAATAATTAACTGCATAGAAGATGCGGAATTAAATGCTCAATAGCTGAAATTTTAGTTCTTCGCCAACGAAAGAATGAGCGCGACGATAAACTGGCGCCATTTCTGGCGATCATGATTTCGATCTAATGGATCCGAGGGAACGCGCTTGTTTCGTACTGGTAACCTCGCTTGAGAGAAGACTGGACTCCAAGCTACTCTTTCGATCTTCCGAAGAGAGGTAAATGCATTTATACAAATAATGCTATCCAAATAATATTTTACTTTTGCATAACAATGCATGTAAGCGAAAAATAAGTGCTATTTGGTATATTGGTATCTTATTACTTTGAAATACTTGCATGTTCTGTTAATTCTGAGTCGCGTCTAGGACATCTCATTCTAGCGTTATGTAGGGATATTGACAGATAAAAGCTCACGGACAATAAATAGCATCTCAATTCTCTTGATGAAATCTTGAATTTAATTTTTAAAAGAGATATAAAATAAACTATTCTGATTTAGGACACATTAATCATTCCTGATAACATAATTTTTCGGAATTCATTAAAAAAGAAAACAGATTTAAATTAAATAAGCGATGATGATTTAGGTATATTCTGTTTGTTGGATCAGTTTTGTGTTTCGAGTTAAGACATTATGTGATTAAAACTAGCTGGCTTTCCATGAGCCCGAAGTCTTTTTCGTGTATATTAATTGAAATAAAATGCATACGAATTACTTTATTCGTGATTTTTATGGGAAAATCCTACAAAAGACTGGTTAGAGGAATCCATTTATTAATGAGAAACTTTAAATATTCTTTCCTTGTCTACTCGATCACTTCTGCAATTCTTGTTAAGTGGTAGAATAATTTTCTTGTTAAGTTAGTTTTAATTATTGAATTTAGAGATGCGAGCTGAAGCTTATTTTAATTTTTCTTGACATAGTTACATTTCTATACATATTACGTATAGAAATTTGCATTACTGATATGCATACTTTTCATAAAAAAAGATAGATTCGCTTTCAGTATTATGGCTGGTAGTTATGAGACTTCAGTTAAGTAACAAAACTTGATGAATACATTTTTTAAAAAATCTTCATATTAGTAACTGTTTTTATCATCTCCGAAAAGGAATAAAAATACAATGTTCATGAAATGCCAAATATTTTCGAAACAAACACTATTATTAAATATTTTAAAATTATTCAACATTTCTAAAGTAAAATACAAGCTGAAATTTATAATTTTGTTACGCAATCTGAGAGCAATATTCTTTTAAAACCTCGTCATAGTAGTATACATTTAAAATCCTTACGACGAAAAACACAGAAAATAATCAAATAAAATGACAAGTACAAAACGAATCAAAACATATGATATCGTTTCAGAAAATGGTGTTAAACCTTTCGCTGCTGCGTTTTAGCAATTATATTTTGTTTTTATTTCGCTATATAGTTATTTCCTGGATAATTCTTTGGGTTTGTCATGGATAAGTTTCTAAAAGTGGATGAAACTGAGAAACGGAGAAAAGAATATGTATGTTGTCGTAATTTCAGCATTTCGTATTGAAAAGAACAATTAAAAAAGGCATTTATGTTTGGAAACTTCCAGCTGTTCATATTCAATATCTTCTATTATTTTAACACTATTTGGCTAAAAGGCAGGCATATGAGTTCAAGGGTGTGTACGAATACTAATTGCTCCTGTGACTCATCAAGAGTATTTCTCCCCCTTCGCCTATGTGCGTCATATGCGCGATGGAGTTTCATTTTTTTATTTTCATCCCATGTGAAATCTGATCGTTACTCGGGAGCCCATTAAATGGATAAGGAGAGAAGTCAAGAAGGGCAAGCCTGAGTTTTATTCCGCGTTCCTGTTTAAGATTAAATTACTCGTTTATTTTCGTCTGAATCCATCCACACGAGGAATACAAACTTAAAAGTTAAAATTCTGAATATGTTACTTAGCGTCAAAATCAGAGCGCGGTTGTCAATTCTAGTGTGTATTTCCTTCTCTGATATTAAGCATAACTTAACTACGACACAATGTAGTTACAAAGGATATAATAAAAAAAAAAAAAAAAAAAAAAAAAAAAAAAAAAACAGCTTTCGAAGAAAGTAACTGAGAATCAAAAAGGCTGAAAATGATCTGTTTTGGCTTAAAGACGTTACACGCGTTCTCATCTTGATATTATACTCGAAGAATTTTATGCGAGTTCATATTTGTAATAAAATGTCGTGGTCATGGTTTTTAAAACTCGATGCTTTTCGACGACTGAAAGATCCTCGGTTGCGCATGATTTCACATGATCCTGACAGTGCCCGTTTTCTTCCACTGAATAAACAATATGTATATAACAACATGCACTTACGCATGTTAAGTGCTTAGGACCTAAAACAAGAATGCTGCTTCTCATGTGCTGATTAAAATATTTTACAAGCAATTTATAAGTTAATGTTTAGGCTCTCGATTATCAATTAACATTAACATCTTATGCTTTGGAGCTCACAAGAGTGAGAATCCTAGTATTTTGAAGTCTTCTTGAAAAACTAATCATAGATTTTTAATACTGGAAGCAAATAATTCAACTTAGCATGGTCTACCTAGAAGTTAGGAAAACTACGTTAATTTAGTTAGATTTGTATTTTCATATGTTAATTTTTTTCCCCTACCTTCTGGAAGTTTTTGACCTGAGAAGTTAAGGAAATTACTATTCTAGCAAATAGCGTTTTTAGTTAATTTTATAAGGAAATTGATGTTTCTAACTAAATTTGATGTTTATGAAATTCGCAGAGCATTTCGCTCTTTCCAGTTTCATGTTGATATTTTTTAAATGACTTTTTAAAGGCATCTTTTTTATTTTCATTTTATGCACTTCTTGAAATTTTAACGAACAACTATTCGATTTGGGAGAAATCTTAATTTCATTCTTTGCAATACTTTTATACTGAAGAAATAAACATTACGCTAGAAAGATATTTTAATTAATTTTAGTTATTCTTAGAATCAGTTTTTATTAAATTTACTTTCACTTCTCCTATCCATGAGTTTTATTCAATACATGAGCCTGAAATGAATTCAAGTCTTATAAAAATGAGTGTTATAATATCAAATCATTATTTTTTCCTATCTTGAATTTATAGCGAAACTAAAAAATGTCTTTTGTTTTAAACCATGAAGGAACGATTTGATTAAAACAAATTTTCACAGAGAACTGTATTATAATGCGATATAAAAAAACAAAACGTTATTCAGTCTAGATTTTTGAATTCTAAGCGCATTTATGTCTTGTCGAACTTAGCTGATTTTGTTCACCTTTAAGAAAAATAAATAAAAAATAAATGGTATTTTTAAGTATTTGTAAAAAAAAAAAAAAAAAAAAAAAAAAAAAAAAATCCCACCCCCTTAAAAACGAACCTTTACCTTTTTCCCCCATGCTGTATGGTTTGTGAAAAAATGAAATAATGACAAGACGGCAAGACATATAGGAATTACGTAATCGCCGATGGCGGGATTCGGTCACTACGATGCGTTGCTATGGGCAACTCCACCTAGCAAAGCACGACGGCATCGCTGATTACCTAATTCTATGTTTCTTTATGCGGGTGCGACTTACTGGATTATTGATCCAAAGTGCTATGCTTAATTCTCATACGTAGTGAAAAACCTATTGTTCGTTTTCTTTTGGCCGAAATTTAACAATGTATTGCACGGAAATGCGTACAAAGGGAAATAAGGAATCGAGTTTGCAAAATTTGTTTTCTTTAAGTGAACTAGTATAAAAGTAGCCACTAGAACGTAAAGCTTACTTTGAAATAAACTAATAAATTTTATATCACTGGACTGGGGCCTTAGTAAGCATAAAATTTTAGACTAAATTGTAATACATTGTACTTAATTTTTCTATCATTGATGTAGACAAAAAGATCAGGAGTCTATTTTGAATTTCCACAAAGAAAATGCTGCCTTTAACAGCAAATTAAAAAAAATGACAGTAAGCATTATATATTTTAAAGTTGTTTGCATTACTTGTGTATTAACTTTGTTGAATATTGGGTAGCATATAATACGAGTATAATCAAATGCACATGAAAAAATAAAGGTTTAAAATTCACCAGTTTTGAAGATTGGCATGGAAATCTTCCTAAAATTTTAAAATTAGTCTGTAGAGCTATTAGATTACTTTTAAGATTAATTAGATTGTTTTGAAGATTGGCATGGAAATCTTCCTAAAATTTTAAAATTAGTTTGTAGAGCTATTAGATTACTTTGAAGCCGGAGACATGAAAAATACGCAATGCCCTCGCCAAGACTCGTTGAATATGCTTCCAATTACACCAGAAAGGCATGGGAAGAGGAGGGAGAAAATACCTTATAAGTTAAGATAGTTTGAATTAAACGTCCAATTTTCTTTAAACTTTTATCAGATACAAATTTCGAGTCATCTTTCTCGAAGTTTAATCAAATAAAATTTTGAAAAAAACTAGACCTTGAACAAGAAAATTTCTGTTTATTTAAAAATCTCAGAAAATGGAACTTACAAGAACCAGACCTCTCGCTTTTCTGCTCGGAAGTATTTTAATTTAACAATATATTTACTTGATTTCACATTTGTCAGTACACATTCTGTTTAGGTTTTTTCGAGAAAAAAGGCCTTTGTACTATTTTGTATTAGCTGACTGTGTTTTTTTAATTGAAACAAACTGAAACTGAAAAATCGCTATTTCGTGGCTGTGGTATTCAAATAAGCTCTTAAACTGCAATTAACATCATCTTGAACAATAAGAAATATCCACAGACAACTCTGTTTACCTTTGCTTCTTTCATTTAGATTCAGCAATTTTTATGTAATTTGTTCTGTTCGTGGTATCAACAGACTGATAAAAATCTGCAAGTAGGCAGCTTTTGTTTTCGAAGGTTTGGTTTGGTTTATGTGATTAAGGCAAAGCCTCGAGGGCTATCTGTCTAAAAGGCGGGATGACTTTGTGGAGAACTTTCTAAGGGAAACTGGCTCGTGTACACGTTATACATGGGGAAAACCACTAAAACTCCTATGCAGCCAGCCCATTCACAGGATTTCAACCTCGGACCCTAACTATCAGTGTTCAGTTACTTTACTGCTCGGCCGCTGGTGAGTATTGTTTTCGAAGGAATTTTTTCAGTTTATCAGTGTATTAAAAATTTTCTTATTTTTATTATTGCATCTTTACATAGCTTTGCCGGTACGTTCATTA